AGAAGAAGAAGAAGAAGAAGAAGAAAGGAAGAAGAAGAAGAAGAAGAAGAAGAAGAAGAAGAAAGGAAGAAGAAGAAGAAGAAGAAGAAGAAGAAGAAGAAGAAGAAGAAGAAGAAGAAGAAGAAGAAGAAGAAGAAGAAGAAGATGGCGACTTACCTGTGCGTCGGGCGCTGCGGGCCACGGACGGTGACGGGCGACGCGCGACGGGAGGTGGTGGGGACGACCACGGACGACGAGGAGGACGGCGACGGGGGCTGGCATGGTTGACGACGAGGAGGACGGCGACGGGGACTGGCACGGTCGACGACGGCGAGCCCACGGGAAAGTGGAAGTGGGGGAGGCCGACGGGCAAAGGCGGGAAACGGAGGACGACCGCCTCCCTCCAAATTTCAAAACGGCGGCCTCATCTGGGCCGCCGATCTGCCTCGATCAGCGGTCCAGAGAGGCCGCCGCTTTGGAAACAAAAAGGGAGGCCTGCGCCACCCGGTTCGATTTTTTTTTGGGCCAGGAAAAAAAATTTGATTCGGGCCTTCCCCTCCAATGCGCTGTAGGCTGCCGGGGGGGAACCGGACCGGTCGACCGGCCGGTCCCACCGGACCGGTTCCGGTTGGGGGTGGACCCCCCGGTCGGACCGGGAATTTAGCACTGCTTACCCTTGAAAAAAATCAGATTTTTTTTTTCTACTCAGTTTTTTTGGAAGATAACGCTGAGACGTTATATTCGAATTGAACACCGGAGCGTTATATTTGAATGTGGCATGGGCAGAGTGCCTTGTAGAGCGGGGGGAGGGGGAGGGTAGTATACATGGGTTTTAAAGGGGGTTGAAAGGGGTTTTGACTTCCAAGGGGTATGTTTTGGTTTGATTTTTTGTTTTCTTTGAAATTCTTTTCTTATTTCCAAATTTATAAGGAATTCTCAGGTGACCCATAGCCAAAAGTTGGTTACATTGCAATTTTAGATGACTGACATGTTTTTTCTTACTCTTTTTTTTTTCTTTTTTTTTTTTTCTTTTAGCCTCACCGAGTTGCTACCAATTTACTGAATATAACCACTCGGCGTTGTAAACGGATATAATGCCCGCCCGCCCGCCCGCCGGGCATTATATTTGTATACGACGCCCCGGGTGTTGTTTTTTGGTGAAGACGGTAGTTATCACTCACCACTCACCTGTTAATGGCCTTGACGGTGTCTGTTGTGTGTTGATTTGCGCTGCTGGCTTTGTAACGGAATGCAGTCCTTCATTCAGAATGCAGGGGTGCGCTTCAACGTCAGTGCCCAGACTGCTGACAATGTAAGATCATGTCCATCGATTTTGGCTTTTGCTCTCTCGCGCGTCAACTTTTTTTTTGTTGGCGATAAGCCATGTAATTCTATATATGTGGAATTACCAGTGCTCGACGATATGAAATAGGGTTTTACGCACTAACTTTCACATCAATAACAAAGATGAATTTGTGCCCCCGTCCCACCTGCCTCCCC